TGGACTCATGCATTGAGTGAAGCCCTTCGGCTGCTCTTGTTCCTGTTCACCCATCCTCCTTCCCCTTCCCAGGGAAATGCCAGGACACGACAGCTGTGCCATGTCCCCGGGACCACCAGGAAACAGCATTTGATGCCACAGCACTGTCTGGTGCGGACAGGCTGCTGTCAGCCTTCACTGTGGCAGGGGGGGGGAGCCGTACCCTCCTCCTGAGCCCACCACATCCCACCTAACATTGAAGTGTAAGGAGAAGGCAGCCAAGTCGCAGGCTGGGGCTTGCCTGGGTATCCCCACCCTGCTCCGAGTGGCAGTGTGTGGGGGACACATGGGTTTAGCCTCCGTTTGGAAGCTTGGGCGCTTCCCCTTGTAGCGGGTGTTGGGGTCTTCAGTGGGCACAAACAAAAGCTGCAAAGGGCAAAATGTTCAGGTGTGTCCATCACCTCTGGGCACTGCTGGCCCCAGGGGCGGTTTCTGATGCTGGGAGGAGGTGCAAGTGCTTGTTTTGCTGTAACCCCAAAATCCAAATTTCCCCCTGGGTGCCCCTCAAGGAGGTTCTCACACCCCTGACCCATCAGGAGGACACAGGCAGAGCAGTACCACGCTGCTCCCACCGCTGGTGAGAGGCACACAGCCCCCCTACGCCTGACAGACCTCCGCAGGGCACGCACCCCCGGGTGCATGATACAGACGGAGCGTAAATACCTCAAATCTTCCAGACCAACTATATAAGATCTCAGTCCCTCCACAAATTCGCTCCGCACGGTTATGACCACTCGGTTACAAGGCCCAGCACACCGGCATCCTCCATGTGGCAGAGAAATCATGCCCCGAACGACATGGGATGTTGTAAATCCAGCTTGTAAATGATCTTCACTTTGTTTTGTTCGGTCTTTCTGATGTATATCTTGCATTTTTTGCAGATGGTACTTTCTGGTGTAACAATTCTCTGCAGTTCTGGTATGAAATTGGTGTATTTGTTAAAAAAAGTTTGTTCTATTAATTTTTTTTTTGTGGTTTCCAAAAGCCCATTGGTGCATTGTACAATGGGATCTTGTAGTGTGTCATGAGAAAGAAAAAAAATATGCAGATATGTTATGGAGTGATTTTTATTTTCAAATGATTGTGTTGTTGACAACTATACATATAATATATATATATATTATCAAGATACCAAGAAACAAATCTAAATTTACCAAAATCTGTATATTTTAATAAATGCATAAAGCTTTATTGTGTGCCTTTACATTTAAAAATCTAACAGGAACTAATGGATTTTTAAAGAAAGCCAGAGACAAATGTGTTTTAGTATCAGTTTCCATAGTAATGTAAATCTTTCAAATGAAAGACTAAATCAAAAAATAATAAAAAAAAAAATCCCATATAAATTTTGTTAAGCCAAACAGTACCTGAAGGTCTGACATTTTTTCAATGCTAAATTGAAGCTAGAGATGAACAAATCTTGCCTTAAGTGCTTCAAAATTTCCTTTGTAGAAGATCCATTTCAATGGGCTGACTTTGGTATTTACTTGCACTGTTGTGAAAAAAAAAAATGGTAATCACAATAAAAAAAAAAAAGAAAAAAACCTAAAGCAAATGACCGCAGGTTGACTATTGCAGGGCGAAGCCCCAGGGAGCGCCGATGTCTTCCCATCTGCTCGGGGTGCTGCAGGCACCCACCTTTCCCTGGGGTTACTGGGGTGTCACAGCACTGTCACCCCCCTGCATGGGCACCGGGGCTGCTGGGAGGTAGGCATTGCTTGCAGGACCACAGTCACCTCTCCCCTTTGGGGTGCTCAGGGCCACCAGTGTCCCCCCATAGGCTCCCTGCTGTTATTCCTGTTATTCGGGGAATGGGGAGGCTGTCAGGCATGCTCCCCGTGATGGGGAGCTATAGTTGGTCCTGGTGGAGCTGGGAAGGGCTCCACTGGGTCATCGGGGACCACCACCACCGCACCGGGGTGACCACCAGAGCTCACACCCACCACTCCATAGCTGATATTAGGCATGGTGTGGAGCAGTTTTTCCATTCAGGAGAATTATATTTGACTCTATTTTGAGGCTTCGGGTCAGCAAAGGAGCACCAAAAACCTTCAAGAGCCAACAGCGCTGCGGTCAACCCAGCCCGGGAGAACCCCGCAGGGGATCGGGGCGTTTTGGGAGGGCGTAAAGCAGGTATTTCAGCTTTGATCCTTTGAAAACTAGAAAAGTTTAATGTTCTTTGTGCTTCCTCCAAACACTTCCCCTCTGCAGTGCCAGCACTAATATCCTGTCCCATACTTGGCCCCATCTCCTCATGCCCCACGGTTGCAGATGTCCGTTTTCCCCGCGGCTGCTCCAGGGTTGTTTTACTTTGTTTGGATTTTTCTTCTCTTCCCTGAAATAAAGCTCCTTCCTTCCTCTGAGCAGCTTGCCCAGGGCCTTCTAAGGGCTGGATCTGGGATTGGCCACCGGTAACCTGTGACCATGGGCAGGGTGAGCAGAGCCCCAGCACCAGCCCTTGCCAAGGGTCCTGAGCCCCGCGTGACTGAAGATGTCAAGTTGCAGCCCGATGGTGTGCGCAGTAAAAAGCCCATAAGCGCTGCCTGGCAGTGCTCATTCCTTATTGGGCCATGCACCACTGCCCGGGCCCCTCCAGCAACACCAAAACCTTCCCAAACCCCCCCCTCAAGCATCTCAGACAGGTTTTCCTGTGCTTTTCCCTCCCATTTTGCTCCAGGGCCATTTGCAGGGCAGCGTTCCAGCAGCTTTCTGCTCTGAGGTCTCCCACGCCACCGTCGGCCCTGGGGTTAACCCGGCAGAGCTACCGCTCGGCTAAAGCCACAGGCAGCGGCACACAATCCACAATCCCCGGGCAGCCTGCACAAGCTGGCACGTCTGTGCACCACCCCTTCGCCCGTGGCACCCGCACATCAATGGCAGCACTTATAGCGTCTCTCCAGCGCATACAACAACTGCCTGTGCCCTGCCTGTGATGTAATGGGCACAAGTGTCCTGCTGCCAGTCCCGCGCCGCTGCCCACCTCGGGTACATTGTATAGGATGGCAGCGATGCAAAGCCTGCACAACAGAGACGTGTTCAAGACTGCTCGGCCTTAAAGGCAGATGCTGGTGTTGCGTGTCGGAGCTGGAGGGTGATGCACAGGCAGCCTGGGACATGACCAGCCCCTCCTGGAGCCTCCTTATTCACTCCTTTTAAATGTTCCCACCTTGGCTTCCCACATGGAGGAGGCAAGTTGTGGGAACTGCGGCATCCTTGCCCATGGCTGTGTCACCCAGTTTGGATTCTCCAGCTGAAGTAGACCAAGATGAAAGGACAGTCCCTAATCCACCGAGACTTGACTAGCAGCCTTGTTTTCAAACTCTTCCCCATCATCCCAAACAATTTGGTTGGTCCTCTCCTCTGCTTGCTCAGTCCCCTCTCCTCCTACATGCAACACCACCTGGGGCCTCCCCTTTGTCCACGCTTGAACAGTGGCTATTCATCTTTTCCTGCTCCTGAAGCCTGGCTTACACAAATTATTTGAACTGAGTTAACATCTCCAGGAACAGATGGGATTTTGTATTGACATAATTAAATTGCTACAGCCTCTGGTAAGGACAGAGTTAGATCTTGATCTTACGTGGTTTTAATCAGAGCGATGACCCCAGATCAGACTCTTATTTTAGTTGAGAGCACTTCCAGCATCATGACTTCTCAACTTCAGCACACCCAAGCAGTGCTGGGGGTGTATCTCCACCGCCTCAGTGGGTTTCTAAGTCTCCCCAATATGAAGAGTACCACGAGTTGGTACCTCTGGTGCAATCTGCTGTCAGGAACGTTAAAAGAACGAATGGATAAGACAGCAGTCTATCCTAAGACCATGCAGGAAGATTACTCGTATTTTAAACTTTCCCCCCAAAAACAAAAGGCCCACTTAATTCCACAGCAGAGCAGAATCTCTCATCCTGAACTGCTATAAGAAAAAAATTCTTCAAAAACATTGGGAATCCCCTGTCATGGAAAAGCTAGCTATGGAAACACACAGGAAGGAAGGAAAAAAAGAAGCCAGTGGTTGCAGGTACTCCGTTATTTATTGTACAGTATTTCACTGAAAGTACAAAGGCATCATCAGTATTCACCAGAATTGTATTGTAACAGGTACATTATACTGCATGTTAATATGTACTACTTTAATGATGCAAGACAGAACACAAATTTAGAGGAAGAAAGCAAGGAGTTTAAAAAAATGTAAAAATACATTTTTAGTAACTGATCTGTACAAAGGAAAAAAGGAAACCAAACCAGAGTGCGGGGATTAGAGCCCCCAAAGTCATTTAAAACTATATAAAAAGGCACTGTTATCTACCGTGTAATTAGGACCCTTGGGTTCTGTTTCCTTCATACTGATGACTGTGGGGGTGGGGGAAATACTGTTACTAAAATGATCAAACTCATACAAAAGTATTTACAGAGAAAGGCAGAAAAAATTCCCCTACTCTTGTTCCAAAAGAGAAACATTTGCCCAGTTGGAGAGTACAGCCTTCCTCCCTACCCTCTCGCCCAAACCGCGCCAAAGCAGTGACCTTGAACAGGGGAAAGCAAATAGTGACATGGTGGGAGAAGCTGCCAGAGTCCTTCTAACAACGGGAAAGTGTCTCTCTCATTTCTGTTTTATTGCTTTAAACTCTCCTATAATCAGGGGAGCTAGAAAATAAAATAAAAACCCTAAAACCCACATGACAACCCCAAACCATCCGAGTCATCCTGGCTGCAAGAAGATGGGGCAGGTAGTCAGGACAAAATGGGGAGGACCAAGAGGTAGGGCCGGCTGGAGCTTTCTTTCTAGAGAAGGGGGGAACAGATGGGGAGGATAATGCTTCAAACTACCAGACATTTGTGCTGCTTTTCTAAATCTTCCCCTGGGAGCCTGACAGCAGTGTGTGTCAGTAGAAGCAAACCCAGGGCACACACACCCACCAGCCAAAGCATCCAACGGCAGCCGTGGGACGTCCCCAGGATGCTTACACGTGAGCGCTCTTCGCGTGGGTAGGGGAACTGGATCCTGAGGCGTAGTAGAAACGGTTTTCACCAAATGTCTGGGCATCCCCCGAGCAGCAGACGATGACGCAGCCACCGAAGAGGCAGAGGGCAGAGCCGATCCAGCCCGTGTACAGGGAGTAGCCGAAGCTCATAATGGTGGTCTCACGGTGGGCGCACACGGGAAACCAGATCGTCGCAACGACGCCACACATGGCTGGGGACAGACGGAAAGGAAAGGTAACTCTAGCATGTAACTCCTCCACGGGGACACAAAGCACACCAAAGGGGAGGGAAGGCTCTGCAGGACAGGGGACAGAGAGGAAGCCCATCCCTTCTCCCTTGCAGTCCCACGGTGGGGCCCAGGAGCATCAGCGTCAGGGCTTGGTCCAAGACATCTCCGAGCAGGAGGCAGCATGGGAGCCTCACGGGGAGAGAGATCAAGAGAGAACAGCCATCTCTCTCAGGCACCAACAAACAAAAAGGAAAAACAACTGCTGCTTGACACAGTCTGATACATTTATTACAAGGGAAACAGATTTGTCCCCTAGAAAGATCTTTAAGGGGGAAGAATGAAAGTCATCCCTGAAATCGATGCTCTGGCAAGCTGCAGAATTAGGAATAGATTAGATATGAAGCAAGACCAGGAAAGCCATATGCATTGGTGAGACAGTAAAATCGGTGGCCCAGAGTCAACTGGTTTAAATCACTATTTCTGCATGAACTCACGTGCTATGTCCTCAGCCCATGTCAATCAGCATCACTGCAGTTGCTCTACTGAATGGTCACATAAACATTAACGAAATATCCCAGCACTTAGCAAGGCAGAGTAAGGTTTATAAAATACAAGCAGAAAATGGGCAGAGGCAAAATAAGCAGCAGTACAGCATTACTGGTTTTTTTTTATGGAGAAGGAAGTGTCTGAAAACTCTGGAAAGCAGATTCCACTTCCCTATGGAAAATTCTCTATATCAAGTGATGGGGACAAACCCAGCAGGGCTTTTCAGAAGCCTATTGAATTGAATAGAAATGGGACCTCATCTGAAGGGAAAACTGTATTTTACCTAGAGTCTACAGTGGGTCAAAAAATGACTGAGGACTTCAAATTTTGCTTGAAATTCCATAGGTTTTTTCCATGAAAAGCAGGAAGGCTGCCACGGTGGTGCTGCAAGGACTGCTAGGCAGGTAACGTGTGAAGTAGATACCCTCAGGACAGTAAAGCAGGTTCAAATTCAGCACTTTGCGGGCAGCCAGGCTAGAGATCACAATGTTTTCAGTGTGCAGTACACACACATGGTTTGCTCCAAGCAGGGAGAAAACACGTGCCCTGCATTCTCCTTGTGCTACACAAGGTCACACTCGCTACCCTCACTGAGGGTCCTACCTCCATCCTGCAAAGTCCCCACATGGACTGAGTGCAACGGGAGTTGATGGTATTAATCACCTCACAGGAGCAGGTCCTAAAACAATACCCCTTTATGGCCTGTACATCTGAGAAGAATTAATCTGTCAATATTTACTTGCCTCTGGGACAAGCTGTGCAAGACTCCATCCTTGTGGCTATCAGAGAATCAGAGCAAAACAATAACAGGACCGTGGCAGCATTACAGATTTCCACTGACCGCATTAAAAGGTATCTGGAGGCAGTGTCAAAAAGTTAAGGTTGCAAGAGGAAAAAAAAAAGGGGGTGAGATTAAAAATAAAATTGTTTAGTTAAAATGGAGAACAAACCATAGGCTCCTGGCCAGTACAGCAGAAAACCCATCCCCAATAGCTGCAGTTATTGTGAGAGAAAATATTTTCTTATGGAAAAGAGAAGAACATTTGAAGGATGCTAATAAAGCCAGTAATAATTTTGGGCCTCCTCAAAGTAAGGACCCTGCGGCTTTGGAAGGAATTTTTGGAGAAGGCAGGGAGGCGAGAACAGCATTTCTCCTGTGTGTGGATCAGTCCTGCAAACAGCTCATGAGCCTCTAACGCTTTAAAACAAAAATGTATCAGTTGGGAATCCACAAAGCATTCTAATGGGCCCTGGAGAAAAAGCTTCTTTGTTGTCCGAAAAAACACAATCATCTTTTCTTTTCCTGTCAGCAGTAAATATATATATATATATATGTCCATAGACTATAAGAGCCTTATCTATCCAGACCCTCCCCCACAACACAGGACCGAAGAAAGCACTTGCACTGGGGTGAGAAGAGCTCTCAGGGATGCTAACACAATGGCATCTCTTGTGCATGTGGCTCAACTACATGTAAAACCACCTTATTTTAGTGCTGACAATACTAGAAAGCTGCGAAACACAGGCCAAGGACTTTGCATGGGTTAGTTTGACCTCTCTGTCTTCGGAGGCTACCAGCTGCCGTCAGTCACCAGTGACCCCATTGCTCAGCAAGAGGAACACCCTGAAACAGGACTGGATTTCATGGCCCTGCATAGATTAGATTGGGTTGTAAATCCTCCAAGAAGATGTGAAAAGGACGGTCTGCAATTGCAATATTTCCTGGTGAACTCAAATTTTGGTCTAGCTGTATCACAGAGGAAGGCTGAAAAAAAGTTGATTTGCCAAGAATCCCAAAGGGATTGGAAAAGGCATTTTAGGGCAAGTTTCAAGTACTAAAATAGCTGCCTACAAGGGCAAACTCTTTGAATAGAAATTACTACTCTTTTTCTTTTGTGCTGATACTGAGACACCCTTTGCCTCTCCCTAAATATGAATGTCTTCAGATAGTAGAGCTGCTGTAGTCAATATAGTCTAGCCGAAAAGTAAAAGAAAGTCTGCAAACAGAAGGAATATTTTCTATTAGACCAACTATGTTAGCTGGAAAAACAGGCATGTTTTGGGGCACACACATACGAGAAAGCTTGCCTGCTTTTTGCAGCTAGAGTAGGCAGTCCTGTAAAAGCCACTGCCTCTACCTGTGAAAGTCATCTCAGTAATAGATGGTATGGTTGTCCTTGCTCTGTCAGACCACTGTGAATCCGTAGGGACACATCCCAGGCTCCCAGCATTTCTAAGTCCTTGATGGAAGTACACATAGACAAGAAGCACAGAAGGTGCTTGGAGAGGTGGGGGAGATAGAGCAGGATTACTCTAACTCAGGGGACAGTGAGTCCCTGCCAAATTCCTTAACAGTAAGTTAAAGGCTTTCTGCAGAAGAAAGAATACTTCTATTTCGCAGCTAAATTTAATCATTCTGAGTTGCTGGCTCAAAGTCACGCAGATTTCTCTTTCAAAGCATTTAGTTGAAATAATAGATATCCATGATTATTTTTTTTTCACGTTCAAGGCAATCTTTTTATCTTGATATCTATGGTTTTACAAGTAAATCTCATGCAGTGTCCCGAAAAACTTACTAATATCCTTTATTTAGTATACAATAGCTAATAGGGTCATTTTGCAGTAGTAATTGCCAATAACTAACGTATTTTTCATCTGTGCTCTCCAGTGTCTCGAATCCCTCACCTCCATTAGGAAAATGCCCGCTTGGTTACCAGCACGGGGTCCCCCAAATTAGTATCAAGAGCACAGGATGGGCCAGGGTTTTTCCATCAACACTAGCATATGAAATGTTTTCATACTGGCTCAGAGCAAACCTCTGCTGATGGGTGTTTTCGGCAATAAATCAATTCTCTTGGACAGATAGGATCAAGCAAAGACATAAACACATCAGCAGGCAGGATAGGAGGGTGTGCACACCGGTTGCACTCTGCAGCCTGCTATTATCAGCAGACAGAAAAATCAATGGAATATCTGAGCCCATTGTTTTCCTGGCAAGTTTTCAACTTTTTTTTGTTTGGTTGGGGTTTTTTTTCCACACTGTTTCAACCCCCGTTTTCCTTTTTAATAAATTTCAGTGACAAACTGCCATCCCTTCCCCGAGCAACAAGTGAAGTTTGCCATGGGGCCAGCTTTCCTGATCACATCTCCACTCTCTACTTCTGCTATGTTAGTGAGTGTTCTGGGGTTTGTTTTCTTTTAACCAGAGCTCTGGGAGTTGGTCTCCACTGAGAGGAAAAGGCTGGAACCCATGCGGTTGGGGAAAACCACAAACGAGACTTCAGTGGCCAGAGGGTAAATAAGAACAGTCCAGGGCATATTACTTCTAGAATATAATTAATTTTAAGTCAGTACTATGACTTTCGAGGCCTGATGCATGCTTATTAAATGCTCTGGAATGGTAACACCTCATTTTGCAAATAACAGATCATTAATCAGCTTAAATAATGTCAAAGTCCCAAGCTCTGTACATTATTCTTCTTCCAAAGGGACTGTCTTGCTGATCAGCCTGGAAAAATTTGGGGGTTGTAAAAATAAATGTGGGTTGGTTTGGGTTTTTTTTTTTTAAAAAAAACTTAAGAGCAAAAGGAGCTTATTTTTCTTCATTTGTGATCTGACAAAAAGAGCATTATTGTAATTGTGACTAAAACATTGTGACCAGGCTGTTGTTCCCAGCCCAGATCATTCAGGACATCAGTGACATGGGCAAACCACTTCACCTGCAGATGCTTCAAAACTCACAGGGGTAAAAATCAGTAAGAAGACCAAATCCAACCCAAAGAGCATTTGTCTGCCAATGTCTGTGTAAACACACATTTCCTTTCCTCACAGGATCTACTTAGTGGGAAAACCACGTTCTGAGGCAGAGAGGAGCCTGGCTTATGGAGCACTGCAACCCCTCTCCTCCATTCTCTTACATCTATTCTCCTCCCTGGTGTTATACCACAGCAAGACCAGGATAGGAGAGTGGCACACTAGACCCCAAACCCCTGGTGCAACACTGCAAGATATGAGATTTCACTTGTTCTAATGCAGCGTTACCCAGTACTGCCACTGCAATTTGTTTGCCACATGTGCTGGTCCTGTAATCCTGATGCCCTTCGGCAAAGCAGATTTAAGGGCAATATTCTTGCCTCCACGTCTGCAGCCATGCAAACGGGGCTGATCTACAGCATGGTTCTCCTTGACTGGAACCAAAAAGTCGCTTTTGTTTGTGACAAAGTACAGCTCTGCTAGGCCTCCCCCATCCTGCGCCGGGGAAATCCGGCAGAGCAGACCCCTCTGGCACTAAAATTTCATTCACAGGCAGAAAAATCTTTTTCTTTCACTTTCCCAAGCCCAAATATGTGACTCAAGGTTTTGGGACAGGGATGAATGTCACATTCCAACAGCTCTCTGACATGGCCATTCATGATTAGGATGTCCTAAACAGGCCCTATAAAGCTGATTTTAGGACTTCCAGCTGTGGCAACATGCCCTTAAACCCCACAGGCATTGAAGGAGCTCCTTGGTCTCGGTCCCTTAAATTTCAGATGTACTGACTTGTACTAACTGCTTCTCACCAAGGCACCGGAGGAGGGACTGCTTACAAGGAAGGAGCATCCAGAGGACAGCCCCTCCGAGCGTGCAGCTATATCCAGTGCCCACTTGAAAAAAAATAAGGAGCAGAAGAAGAAAGAAGACGGGCATGATGTCAGCACTGGCCGCCAGTGACCAGCAGAGCCACACAAAGAGGCCACTTTCCCTCACCCCTCCTCCTCTGCCACACAGACGGGTGAAAACAAGGCACCGCAGCCTGTTGCTGAGATGACGAGGCTTCAAGAACATGCAGGTGTTGCACTGGGGACAATGAGCTCCACAGTGTGTGCTGCTCAAAACAATCTCCTCCGCAGGCACTAAGGACAGCAAGAAATTCCCAGGGGAACTTGGAGGCCAAAGGCAAGGCTGGCTAGCGGGGGTTGGGAGGCACAGGGGACATGCCAGCCCTCTTCCCAGGTCCATGCCACCTCCTTACTCCCTGCCCCACTGTCCCCACAGCACCAGCACCCCCTCAGCCGCGGACTTTCCTCACCAAACACCTCAGCTTACTTTGACCCAGCTGTATCTGCGATGCCCAGGGAAAATTCGGAGGCTATCCTTTCCCTGCAAGCAGCTTAGGAGTTTAGACCCTTTTCCAAAAATAACATCGCTTCCACAGCGAACCAGCGAAACCAGTGCCCGCAGGCAGCTGCCTGTTTGCGACGGCTGTCGCCCTCCTGCAGGCACAGGCGGTGGCTGTGCTCGAGAACTCCACAAGACAATGCAAGTAGGGTTTCGCAGCCCTCCCCTCTTCTCTCTGCTTTGCTCCCTGCCTCCTGTCTTTGTCCTCCCACTCCTGCTCGTGCCTTTTGTTCGCCCCACAGACTGCAGCGATGCTGGAGAGCTTCAGGGTCAGCCCAACCTGGACAACCATGCTTTCAGGTGAACACGTGCAACCAGCTTGCACCACACCATCCTGGAGCAGAAGACGACCTCCAGCTCTGCACACAAGCGGGGCCGGCAGGTGCCTTACCCAGGAGGATGATGAGGATGCCTCCCAGCTGGGACCGCCGGTACTTGGCAGCTCCAGGCTCGTGGCCCATCCGGATGCAGGGCAAGACCGTTATCAGCAAGAAGATAGCAGGAAGACCCAGGACAGAGGCAGCAATCATCAGTGCTCGACATGCTTGGACATACCCTGTTGGCAAGGCAAGGAAAGAGGCTTTTGATTATTCAGCACAAGAGAAGGAGACCTTTGGACAAAGGCCTCTGTTTGATTAGCTCCCAAGACTTGCATGGAGTATGGGAGACAGGTTCAATCCGTTGTGTAAACAATTAAATCTTCACCAGGCGTAAGACAGTGAGACTGCAGTACGGTGAGTAGTGCATGAACACGGGATGTGCAAGCTCAAATTTTTCCAACTAACAAATAGCACTGCCTGGAAAACACAAGCTCTTCCCAGCAAGACACTGAGAAATCATGGAGCTGGGAAATATGGGAAGGGAAAGTAAGAGAAACAGCTGGGAAGGAGTTTTCCTATATCTTCACAAAGACAGCCTTGGTTAAATAATAAGAATTTAAAGTCTTAAAGAACAGCTTGCTGTGAGCAGAGGAGGTCCAGAGTCACCCAGAGGAGGGCTGAATAGTTGAAGACCCACTACTGAAACGTGCAGGTCCATAAGATACGACCACCAGCTGCCCTGAGGAGCTGAGGACTGTTGACCTGGGAGGAGGAGGGACGCTCACCAACCACAGCCACGCCCTGATGCTGCACCCCAGGAGCCCAGCCTGCTAGCGGGGTTTCAGAGGGGTCCCATGGCTTGAGCTGACCACTGGCACAGCTCTTCCATAGGGAGACGCAATGACTGCACCTTGCAGAGTTGCTTGAGCTGCCAGAACCAAGGGCCACGTTATTCCTCTGGGTCCCTACGGATATCACGGGATCTCCTGGCATTTCATCAGTTACCACCCCGCTCCTGCCTGCCCCTGTGCAGCAGCAGCCTAACACAAGGCAGTGAGGAACAACAGGGGATGGGGACTGTGGGCGTGCTGGGCAGGGACGTGCTATTTCTACCAGTCTGTGAGGAACTTTGTATAATACTGTATCAATCTTTTTATATTTATATATATGATTTATATATAATTTTAATAGATAATTTTTATATATGTTTATATAGATAATTTATATATAAAATACAGGTAAATAAAAACAGGTCATTACTTGCATGCAAAAGAAGAAGAATCAGTGTCAGATTTGATCCAGGGCCTTGTGAGTCTCCACCAGCTTTTGGGACAGTCTCAGCAGAGTGAGTATGCTGGCTCTCTTTCCCCTCTTATTAACAAAATGAAGCTGCCACATGCAGACATGGAGTTTCGTGATGCCTCAAACAGTATCAGCAAACAGGGGCCTCAAGCAAGTCCCGCTGACATACAGGTAAGACACCAGGAATGAGGATTTTACTGTTCCTGGAAATGCAGACTCTGTGTATATTGAATATTTGCTTGATTTTTTCAGGAGGAAACTTAACAAAAGAAGTTACCTGAAGAGTCCAGGGGAAAAAATGAGACCCTAAACAAAGGAGCTGGCAGTGCCCAGTGTGGTTTCTGTGCAATCAATCCCGATTAAACAAGAATACACACACACACATTGGTTTTAAAGACTTGACTCAGGCAATGAAAGACACTAAATAGATTTCAGCTATCGGGCACACCAGGATAAATTTTTCTCCCATGGAAAGCTGTGGGTATCAAATGGGTTACAAGCAGAAGCATCTTGCTTTGTGATTTGTTTCTGCTGGAGAGAAGCATTGCTTTCTGCTGCTGAAAGACCTATTTACCTATTTATTAATTTTCATTCAATAATGTTTCTTTGGGGCAAGCCTTTTCTCGTTCTTCTGTGCCGGATCATATTGAACAATAGTAGCAATAAGGAAGGTAAACCTACTAAAATAAAAGTATACATACACAGAGAAAGGGAGAATAGGAGCTAGTCTGAGAGATTCAATATTGCTAAGCAATATGTGATATAGACTACGCTCTGTAACAGAGAGAAATTCGTGAATAATCTTTCTAACCTCTTGTGAAATTATTTTCACAACAGTTTAAAAAAATAAGTAAGGAAACATGAAAGAAAACTACGAGGAATGGTTATTTCTACCCTGTCAGCTTTGGAAGAGGCATCTCTGAAATGCTAGAGGAGGTGCAATCTGAAACAGCAGAATGAAGAAGCGCTACAGAGCTAACAGTGATTGAAACAGGTAAGATCATTAACTAAACTTACAGGGACAAGACCACACAAGACTTTGGCAGGTTTAATTAGCTCAAAAGTTGTATTAATACTGATGAAACACCTTGCTTAATTTTTGCTTTGCAGTAAACTAGATGAAAATTACTATATAATTAGAAAATATCAAGACAAGTTAAATGCAGTTACATGTTTGCCGTGTAAAAGTTCTGTCTCGCCTTAGAACGTGTGGGAAGCACAAGACCATCAGGACTAATGACAATCTTCCAAAAGATTAAAAGCCATAGCAGCATTAATAATAGATGCTGAAAGATTCATTACACTCAAAATCATTTTAAAGCATAGAACCTTAACATTTGTAATAGTTCATCATCATCTCCAAGCAAAACTCAAAATACTCTATTAAATCTCAAAGTACTCTATTATACCTCAATATGCTATATATGTTTTGCAATGCAATCTGGATACGAGATGCGAAAGGAACAGCAAGCATTTACCAAGAGCAATGATTAAACATTAGCTGGACTTTAATAGCCACAGATAACACGATACCTCGGTATGATTAAAACCAGATATAATTTAATGAGAATCATGTTAAAAACTATCATACACATTCTTTGGCATATTTAATGGACCATCTCCTGCGCTGATGAAGTTGAAGGAGCTTCGCCATCAATTCCTCCAGCAGCAGGACCTGCACTGCTCAGAGCAAGGCTTCACTCCTCACCTCCAGGTGGGAAGGGGGAGGACGGGGCACACGTACCTGGCAGTATGAGGATGTCCACGAGGGGCTTGCAGTGATAAAGACCTGTCGCCATGACACAGTCTGCCCACAGCCCCTTGGATCCCAGCTCATCCATTTTCCTGCAGGTGGTAATGGTGTAGCCGCAAGTCACCACCCAGTCATTGGTGGCCGTTGCCACAACCACCCCGATCCACCCTATAAAACTGCAGACAAATCCGGCCAGGTGCAGGCAGGTGGCCACCATGTCGACCCCTTGGTGGGGGGCAAGCTGGGCAGGAGAGCGCCCGCAGGGGTTCAGCAAAGCCGGCTGGCGACCTCCCTGCTGCGGGTCCCCGCTGCTGGGACCTACTGCGAGCTGCGAGCAGGAGGGACGGGAGTTTGGTAGGAAGAGGTCCCTGAGTGCTGCTGCAGGCACTCGGCTGCCTCTGCCCAGCTCCCTCCCTGGGAGGGGTTAGGGCTGCCTCCAGCCCCATAACGCATGGGAGGAGCGAGCAGGGAGCCCCAACTTCTGCCAGTTCAACAAGAGACTCAGAGGGGAAGGAGGGTGTGGAGAGGAGGAGACGCAGAATTACACCCACCCGTGCTTGAAAAACAAACCAGACTGCTTTATTCAAATGCAAACAGCCTGACTATTCAAAATTTAGCATTAAGGCAGAAAAATTAAGGCAGTGTTTTCGAGCTGAAGACAAATGATCACACTGGTACCTCTTCATGGAAAGACAGGGCAAGAAACATGGTGGACAGAGATACTCAAGAGGTGGAATTGATCATCTCATCAAAACTGTCAGCGCGGCTGCAGCAAAAGGACAAAATCAGTCTTGGGTCTTTCCTGATGTTTTCAGTAACTGCAAAAAAGTAAGAGACCCATCACTGCATTCTCTGCTTGTGCCTGGGTTTTCAGAAGTATTAACTAACACTCACAGAGTCTTAAGTATGCGTTTAACAGCACCTTATTTCCACTTTTGAATGCTAAAATTAAAATGAGCAGCTTTGTACTCAGACTCATTACGGGTGTAAATTTTAGTCTACTTAATAGAACAAGGAACAGCCCACTTCAAAATGCCAAAAGAAGAAAAAATTCACAGCCCATTCTGCATCAGGAGAAATAGGCAGGCAGGATATTTTCCTAACTTTACTTTGTATTTTCACAAACACACACATATGTTACCGGGTGCCAACACATTCCTAATGAAATTTCATCATTGTGCGTCCTCCAGTACTTCTAATTTTGCAAAGGGAAGGTTTGGATCTACGCAGATAAAACGTGCCTGGAGAGACCACTAGCGGAGAGCTGTCCGCATTGCATGGGGGAAGGGAAAAATTGGACAAGAAAATGACAGAACAATGAATTTGCTTCATTCCTAGAGCTGTTAGTGAAAAAGAAATATTGGAAGCTACACTCCAAGATCAAGGTGCCGGGAATGAAATATATCCTGCTCCTCATCCAACAGTATTTTTTCCCATTCTTTAGCAAGTAAAATTAAAAACATGCACACCACCATCCTAAGCTTCATTTGCCACATGTTCCTTAGATTCAAAATTCAAGGACACGAGGCCACAGTTTTGTTTTGTCAAAGCCTCATCTGAACACTGGGCTTACTACATAAATGGTTGAAAATTACCTCTGAAGATGAGCTTTTATAATAAATAGAAATTTAATAGTTGTTTTCACATTTGTTTTATATTGTTGGTTGCTCTTTGGTTTTTTCCTGTACCTGGTTTATGGCATTTTTGTGAAGCCATGCTGCCACTGACTTTCCTGATGCGATTCCACCTTCCTACATAGCTTATTCTTCTACTGCACCCACTGCAGGTGGACTATATCCAACCACCATTTTCACGTTGTCTAGGGTTCAGTTCTAGATGGATTTAATCTTTCCCCAAACAATATTCCTGCTTATTTATTATTCAGAAGATAAACTTGTCATCTCTTGAGTGGCACGAGTGTTGTTCCACTTCTTGGACCACGCAATTGCGTCACCTCCTGAATTTGGAAGGAGATGAGCTGACAAATGAACATGTTCCTGCTTCTCTCCTTCCCTGACTCAGTTTGCATTTTTTCAGTCTAGCATTTCATCCATCTAACTTTAAATCATTCTGTAAATTAAACATCTGATCTGTTTGTATCAAGTATAAATGCGCACAGCTTAATACTGCTTTTTGATTAATACCAGGCATAAGGATACTTAACCACTTTGGGATGACTGATCCCAACCTCTGTCGTCTAACGGTACTGTCACCACACAGTCCTTTGGAGTTTACAAACCACGCATATTCTCTGAATCATGCTAATACTTAGATATCTAATATACTTCAAAGTATTTTGTTTTTCTTCAAAATACCAGAAAATTTTGCAACATCTTGATATCCCATTTCATCCCAAAGCTGAGATTAGAAGCGTTTTACATGGTGATAGTGCAGGCACATCCTAATGCATAAAAAAAAGACTTTTTAAAATGCTGCGAGATATGAATTTGCAGGCTGTGGATACATCCTACTGTAATTCAGTCTCCTACAGTTATGGTTTCCTTAACCACAAAAGCTTCTTACACTGCCACGTCTTCCTTCACAGCTGTATTTGTCGAAGAGTGCACAGCAGTTCCACAGGCAAGAAGTAAATTTTACACTTCAGTAACCAGTACTATTCAACAGTACTCGATCCGGTGCCCATAGGGCACAGTTTGAATTATTTCATTAATGACGATAGAGACAGGAAACATGTACTGTTTTGTCAGTGTTATAAATAACACCACCGATATTTAAGTGAATATAAGTTAGTATGCTACAAGTGAACAATGATTCACAAGATCAGTAAAATAAGAAACAAAGAAGAATGACTTCCCAGCTATATGCTAAATAAACTGATACATTTAGGGCAATATTCTTCAAATTTGCCATTTTTAAAGCAAGTGCTACACAAGCATTTATTTCAGGAACAGTGTGAACAGCTTAAAAATCAATCTTTTTACCCTGTCACTCAAGCAGTTTTTCCTTAATCAGCATTGTTTTCTCTGACAAATGACATGCGTTGCAATTAGTCATACTTACACAAGCTACCAACACCCTATGGCTTTTTCTCATACAAATGACTCACCTTGAACTTTTTATTTGCAGGGTTTTCAGCCCCATAGCTTCTCCCTCGCTTGGAAATACAGCAGTATAAAAATATAACATGGGATGCAGAAATAAACAGGGTTAACTCTTTAAGAGGTACAGCTAGTTGTTCATTGTCTTCCATACTAAAAGGTGAGCTCATCAAAATACTACCAATTTCATCTTCATCCTGCTTAATACCGCTCATTTCTCTCTTCAGCTGTAAAATACAGGCAAGTACATTGTAGCATTAAGGGTTTGCAATAATCTGAAACAATGAGGATTTCCTATATGCAAGACCAGTATCTTAAAACAAGGACAAAGCATTTTTGCTCTGATTTGAGGGGAAGGAAAAAATATCTAAGTGTGCGTATGGGACTGCACTTGCTTATCTGTCAAAAAATCCCAAACCCATAGTATGAATAAAATCACCTAGAAAATCTCCAAAATATTATTTGTAGTACAAGTTGTATTTTTCTACTACAACCTTGATTTTTTTAAGTGACCAACAGAATATAGCCTATTGTTGTAAGTGGGGGAAGTTCAACCTAAACAGAAAACCCATTCATATATAGCTTACAGGAACAGCTCCCTCTTTTCTTCTTGCCTCCTTCCTCTCTCTTCTCTTCTGAATTTTCTGCTATTTAAGCTCCCCGATGGCAGACAAAAATGTTAAGCAACGTAATCATGTGATTTACAGCAACGAAGAACTCCTGAGAGTCACTGTAGGACATATTTTCCATCAGCAAATAAAGTATAATTCTCATTTCTGATTTTAACTTATTATAAATCTCAGCATTTTATACGGTGACGTGCGATTTTTATCTTGTTCATTACTAAGCTATTAAGGAGAGGTGTGAACAACTCAAACAGTGCTCGAGTAGTCAACTAGCAACAAAAGCTGTGCACCAGAGAACATGCCAAATTTTACACATATAAACACCAACTTTAGGTCAAGATACATAGAAATCTCAGCGTCGGTAGTATCTTCGCAGCACCGTAAGAGGTTTACAAAATGGACTCACGGTGAGGGAGGGCTATTGATCTTGTAGATGTTGCTAAAAATGCCCTTTAGAAAACCGGGGACCTGCTGCAGGCAGTGGGAGTTCTGCTATCAAGTCTCAGTGTAATCAGGTTTTAATTCACTGTAATCAAAGCAAGGAAGACACTGTCCTCCTTAGAAAAGCACTGCTGTTAAACACCTTTCAAAAAGTCAAGTTTAGAAGTCAGTGTTCAAAAATATTGCGAAGACAAGTGTTTTGACATTACAGTTCTTTATTTGTTTTTGAATCCACAATCTATACAGGTATTTACAAGGCATGAAAATGGGTAACAGCACAAAATACAGTTGAGGTATAAGCTAAGAGCACAGTATGTCATGTTTCAATAAATATAATTCAAAATTTGTAAACTAAGTGACCAGATAGATGCATCTTGTTTACTAAAACCATATAAAATATCTGTTAAATCTCACGTGAGGTAGAGGACAGTTTTGTGTGTCATGTAATGCAACCACAGCAACTCCAACAATAAGACTGTACATCATTGGCAAAGTATTAAAAATTGTTGAATGCACTGATCGTTTTTCACAGGCTTTTACTATGGTTTCAGAATAGTCATTCAACCTGTTGCCTTGAGCTAACACAGACTGTTGTTTTGCAGCTACTTTCTGTAATTTATTAAGATAATTATACTGGCATGTCAACATCAATAAATACTTTCGAGAGTGAGTATGAAAACACAAAAACAGATTTCGTCAATCACAGAAAGCAACAAAATGGCAACAAAATATTTTAGACCAACTTTTTATTATTTCCTAGAATTAGTTTAAATACAGTACAGCTGTGCTTTCCTTTAAGTGAGGTATCTATATTTGAAAAAAAAAAAATTCAATTTATATTGTTACATTTAATCAATTTTCAAATAGCAAAATTTTATACCATTTGTTTGCTGTGCTTGATGAAGTGCTTAAAACTCGTTTTTCAAGCATTTTCCAACTGAATCACTAACCCTGAAAAAACCCCAATTTTCTAAGTAATGGAGACACACTACAAAATTGTCATACAATTTGTAAGCAGTAACTGCTTTCACAAAAGCTAAAAAACTGATGTCTTTTTGAAACAGAAATATGTAACAAATAGAAAATTCTAC